AGAAAGAGCAGTTCGGTCAGCCACTTTTCAGATAAATATGACAGCGTGATATACATATGGAGATCCGGATGTGAAGTAAACAAATCTTCTTGTTAATGTGCTGCAGGTCCTTCTTTGATCCAGCAGCTGTTGGACGACTTCCTGTTCAGAGCGTCTCGTATCATCCTGAGCAATGACAGCTCATCTAGCACTACAGCATCTATCCACGACTTTCACCCAAAGTAAGAGGAAATGCATTCATTTAAACACATTTGTAAGCAAGTTGCTTCAGCTACTTTTAGTAATTATGTCTGTGTCTCAGGTGCAGTACGGTCAGCAGTCGTCTGGCGGCGTACGAGGTGCTGGTCATGTTGGCTGACAGCTCTCTTACTAGCCTGCAGCTCATCACTAAAGAACTGCTGTCCATGCACCACCAGTCTGACCCGTCTCTCACCAAAGAGTTCGACGTGAGTCCCTTCACCGGTCCTTAAATCTCTTGGAGGAAATTAATTCTGCTATAAGAACTTCTAACAGATGTACTTGCGTTCATTTTTGTGTCATTGTGTCTGTGTGTGTGTGTGTGTGTTGTCAGTATCTTCCTCCTGTAGACAGTCGCTCTGTGTCTGGGTTTGTGGGACTGAAGAACGGAGGTGCGACCTGCTATATGAATGCAGTGTTCCAGCAGCTCTACATGCAGCCTGGTTTGCCTGAGGTAAACGTTGCTCTTTTATCACTAAAGTAAGTTTAGCACACTTTCCCACCACTAGGTGACGACCTAACCTTGAAGTAATAGGAGTGAACTGGATCAAGGAAGTGTTAATTGCTGTATTGCTAAAGGAAGGGTGATTTTTGTGTGTTTGTACGACCTAGTTTGTTTTCATATTTGAAAATGTATTTTTTGTCTAGTTTTTGATTAGTTTTAGTATATTTTCTTAAAAACATTAGCACCACAAATTTTTCCTTCTTCCTATGATGACGCATGTTACACGATTAAAAACATCATATTCAACAATACTTCAGTGAATGAATCCAATATTTACTGATAGTCAGAAGTCAGAGCAGTGTTTGAAAATATTGAAACTGAAGTTATTTTCATTGCAATTCTATTTAGTTGTTTATCCTATTGTTCCCTACATTTATAGTTTCTGAACTTTTACAAGGTCTCATTTATATATATAATATTTTTATGTACACTGCCATTTAAAAGTTTTAGATTTTCTTTTAGATAACACTTTTATTCAGCAAGGACTCGTTAAATTGATCAAAAGGACAGAAAAGACATTTATGTGTCAAAGTATTGTTGGTTTTAAATAAATTCTGTTCATTGCAATCATCAAAAAATCCTGTAATAGTAAAAACAAGTAATAGTTTCCACAAAAATATTAAGCAGTAAACAGTTTTTAACATTGATAATAATAAAAAATGTTTATGTGGTAGTATATTACTGACATTAGACTATTAACCTGATTTTTTATTTAATACAGTTTTTATGGTGTTTTTCTTTATAATAGGTTTCGTTAACAATTTTAACCTTGTGTGTGTTGTAGGCTGTCTTGTCAATTGAAGATGACATTGAAAACCCAGAGGAGAGTGTGTTCTGTCAGGTACAGTCTCTGTTTGGTCACCTGATGGAGAGCAAACTACAGTACTACATACCTGAAAACTTCTGGAAGGTGAGATCCACTGTTATGATATGTCTGGAACTATTGATATGCACACAGTGAACTGAATTTGAAATAAATGCTGCCAAATGTATAAAATACTAAAGAGAAATTTCTGATGTCAGGTGAGAAACCTGTTTAAAAACAACATTTATTTTATCTGTAGTTTATTATAGATACTCCAGAGAATTTAAGGAAAAAGATATCAAATTTAAATGCTTAAATGAAAGTCATGGATATTAAAAATGCACTCTATTGTTGTATTTTTTAATATATATGTCTATACAGTTTTTATTAAGTTTTAATTACTTTAGTACTATTTTAGTACAATTGAAACAAATGAGAAATATTGGCTTTTTTATATTCGATATTTTATTTTATGTAAGTTAATGTTTATTTTTTATTTCAATTAATGAAAATTAAGTACTTCATTGTTGTCATCACTTGGTTGGTCTTGATGCAGATATTTAAGATGTGGAATAAAGAATTATACGTGCGAGAACAGCAGGACGCTTATGAGTTCTTCACCAGTCTGGTGGATCAGCTTGATGAACATCTAAAGGTACAGCTCACCTGA